TATTCCTCTCTAGTGCTGGGATTAAAGGTGTGCACCACCACTGCCCAGCTTCTATGGCTAACTAGTGTGGCTGCTGGGATTAAAGTTTGTACCACCACTGCCTGGCCTGTATGGCTGACTTGTGTGGCTAGCTTTGCATTCTGATCTTCAGGCAAGCTTAATTTGTTAGATCACAAACAAAATATCACCAAGTAAAGCTGTGTTGCTTTGCCTGTCTAAAACACCTGATTGGTCTAATAAAGATCAGAACAGTCAGGAGAGAGAAATAGGCATGTAGAGAGAATAAATAGGAAGAGAAAGAAGGAGGGGAAGGAGTGAAAGAAGAAGGAGAAGAGGATCTCAGAGGCCGGTCACCCAGTCACACCACCATCCACAGTAATAAGGAAAGAAAGGTATATAGAATAGAGAAAGGTAAAAGCCCAGAGGCAAAAGGTAAAGGGGATAATTTAAGAAAAGCTGGCTAGAAACAAGCCAAGCTAAGGTTAGGCATTCATAAGTAAGACTAAGTCTCTGTTTATTTATTTGGAGCTGGGTGGCAGTCTCTCAAAGAGTAAAATATATATATATATATATATATATATATACATATATATAGTGTGTGTGTGTGTGTGTGTGTGTTAAATAGGAAAGGGAGGGAAAAGGCAGGAACCAGAGCTGTGACGATGGATTTGGTCTTCATGTTGCTACATGACCTTCAGCAATTCATTCCTCTTCCTCACTGTAAAATTAAGAGTGATATGACCTCTGAAAGCCCCTCCAAACTGCCCCAAGTTGTCAAGTCCATGACCTTAAGCATTGCTTAACCATCTAAGACCTTTTTTCTCCCAGCTCACCCCTCCTCTCTCTTATTCCCCTAAATACTGTGGCACCCTGCCTGGGAAGGACAAAGTTAACAGATGCTGCAAATGACCAAGGTTAACAGCCACCAGTGCTGTGAGAACAAATCGAAGTCATGCACCCATGGTTTCTCAAGAAACCTTTCACCCACCCGGCTACCGGAGCTACAGGAGCCTTCAGTCTTGCCACCAGACACAGAGAGACGGATAACCCTTTGCAAATGCCTCTCTTTGACAACCGAAGCTTTAAGGTAGCCAACTCCCAAGGCCCCAGCAACAGAAGTCAGACCTCAATGGCTAGGACTCCACTGACCGAGAACAAGAGAAAAATTAGTTGGCAGATTAAAACCAGTTCTTATTATGCAAATTTATAATGGGAACAAAGTTGGAAAGAATGTAGCCAACTTGGAGATAACATAAATTATCAAGTTTGGGGCGCACAAAGGATCCTAGCAATCACCCTCTTGCCTCCAGCTCCGTTTGTTCCTCACTTCCTGACCATACAGCTACAAGCCATGGAGTTGAGAGGAAACCCCAGGGTCTCCATGCCCACTTCTCAATATGCTAGCACGCACGCGTGCGCACACACACACACACACACACACACACACACACACACACACACACACACATTTGTCTGAGAACTTAAGAATCATGTTTTTCCAAGCAGAAGGCAAGATCACAACACTAAATTTAACCATATTGAAACTGCTGTTATCCTATATCAGAAATAATAGATATTGACAATTCCATATGGCACAATTCACCCTTATCTCAATGTCGGCAAACATTTCTAAACAGTGCTATGAGTCAACCCTCACAAAACACAACAGAAATCTCCAAGCCCCAAGGCAATGAATAGCAGTCTATGACCCTCCAGATGGGGACAACAGCAAACGCTCCCCCAAAACTGTTGAGTTAAATATGAAATTAACACAAGATGGAGTACCGGATGTATACATAAACATCTGAGAGACCAAATAGTTCTGACAAAACAAAAACAATCAAAATGAGAAGACAGCGAAATCAAAGTCCTGCCTGTAACTGCACAGTTGATCCTCCACCAGACAAAAAGGGGTAGGAGGTAGGAACACCTCAAGGTAAAAGACGCTGTCACTAAAATTGGGTGTTGAGCAAAAGTAGAGAAAGAGGAAACAGGCAGAGCTTAGCATGCTGTGTATGCAGCAGGAGGCAGTCTCCGACAGAACAGAGACCTGGGAGGCAATCTACAACGGACCTTTGCAGCACCAGTGAAGGTTTAATCGCCAGTTGAACTCAGCCAAGCTCAGAACAGAGACCCCCAAACAGCTCAGGTGTATCAAACTCCTCCAGGAAACTGTCACCTCCCCTTTTCCTCCTCTCATCCTCCTGACCTTTTTTTTCTGTCCCTAAGGTGAAGGACTGGGGAGATCAGTCCTTTAGCTGCATTCATGGCCATCCAAATCCCTAGTGTTGATGATAAAACAAGTCAACTGAAGCAGAAAGAAAAAGAGTTCACAGAGAAGGAACAAAAAAGGAATGAAGGGAGAGCGAGAGAGAGAAATTTAAGTAAGTTGTAAGGTAATAAACACTCTCTGAAGCAGCCGGCTCAAATAAACCTCAGGGGTCATCGTCACAGAAACATTATGGAGTTTGTCTGGTTTCCTTTGCTGCCAGTTCATGCCTTTGGTCACCCTGTGAAATGGGAGTTTACCCACCAAGTCCACCCTTTCAGAGAGGATGGGCCTATGTCTCTCTCTCTCTAGGAACAGAGAGATCTGTGAGGAGCGAGGGAACATGGATGGAGTGCCCAGGTACCGAGGAGCTGTAGCGAAGACCAGAGAGGAGCCACAGCAGACAGACACTCAGGCACAGGGTAATCACTGCAGGACTCCCCGGAGCACAGACATGAGCAGTTCTACTTAGTACTGACTCAGAACACACACACACACACACACACACACACACACACACACACACACACACACACCGCCTGTTCCGCCAGTTGAAACCTACTCAAATTGCTGGAGAGCTAGTTTTTTTTCACCGCCGCTTCTACTCAGTGTCCCTCAGAGCCTGTTCCAGCTTCACGGTTATTCTAGAAACACCTGTAAATAACTGTCTGGTTTCTGGGTGAGGAAAGGAAAGACACACACGGTCCAGGATGCCCCTCTGACTCAGGCACAGGGAAAAATCAAACTCTGAGTGTACTTACTGCTCTGTGCCTGTTCTGTGGTTACCTCAAACCGACTCCCCTGAGGGCGGTTCAGAGGCCAGCTTTGGAATTTGCCTCCCTGGGTTCAAAGCTCAGCGGTGTACTTACCAAGCCAACCTCGGCTTCTGCATCTTCAAATGAAGGTGAAAATAAACTCTAGGTGCTAGGGAGATTGCAAGAAGATAAATGAAATTATATCAGCAAAATATTCACTTAAGTCCCCTGCTTTTGCCCCTGATGTTGCTCCTGCTATCACTACGCTAATGGCCATATAAACAGGCTTCAGTTACTTCACTACTAGTTAGAAAATCTTTAATAAAACAGGATCCCAACTCCTATTTTTATGCTATAAAACTGCATTTATGACAACATCAAGTAGGCATTTGGGTTGAAAAGGGTTTTCCAAATGAGTAGAATTTTGATGACACACTCATGTAATAAACATCAAGCTGAGAAACAAACTATTTCTTCGTGTCTATCTCAGACGTCACAGGCATAATAAGAAGAATGAGGCATTCTATAGGCACTGACAGCCTATAGATAAGCTTTCATCTCCACACATAAAACGCTGCACACAAAATCCCTGCGGCCTCCCCATTCGAAAGAGCTCAGGGACCGAAATGGCAGCCAGCCTGCCAGCACCGGTTAGCTTCTTGCTGTGTCTCCAAAATGGAGTCTGAGGCTACGCTCTCCATATGTGGGATGGAACTGTGCTGTTGGCTCAGGCAATAATCAGTATGTCTCCTTTTGCAGTGTGGTTTCTGTGTAAGAGCAGCCATTCCCCCTGTCTGTGGCAGTTTGAAAATTCTGGCTCATCTGATGGTTGTGGGCACCCCTGCCCTAGCGACGCGGCACCTGCTCCTCCCCATAACGATCCACATCTGTCTGACGATCCACATCTGTCTGTCTGTGTATTACTCCTTTCCACCACTCACACGTGACTCTCTGCTGCCGAGTGGGTGGGCTTACCCACCCATTTAATTTTCAAGTTTTATCCTAGAAGTGCAAAGCATTGTTAAGATTCAAACTGCGCTGGAAATACACCTAGGAAAAGTATACCATTCATTTATATATCTCAAACATCTACATGCTTAGTCATCTTAACTATTTTACATGAGGCAGAGCGATTTTATTATTGATGTGCTCTTCTATCTGCCAATCATAGGTATAAGGAACAAAGAACTAGCAGATCACTGGGCATATTCAAAATAAAGCACATATGCAAGTGTGTGTCGGGGTGTGCACATGTGTGCATATGTATGTAAAAGTCAGAGGACAATCTGGGGTATCATCTTCAATGCTATCTGTCTTTTGAGACAGGGTCTTTCACTGATCTGAGAGTCACCAAGCAAGCGAAGCTGGCCAGCCAATGAACCCCACTCTGTAATTACATGCATGCAACACCATGCCTGACTTTTTATTTTTAACTGTGGGTTCTGAGGATAGAACTCAGGTCCCGATGAGAACACATTACCAACTGAGCTATCACCTCAGTTGCAACGAAAAAATTCTTGATATTGTGATGGGAGCCTTTCCCTGCTGTGATTGTTTGAATGAAAATGGCCCCACAGGCTCCTCATAGGGAGGAGCACTACTAGGAGGTGTGACCTTGCTGGAGTAGGTGTGGCTTTGTTGGAGGAAGTGGGCTACTGGGTGGGCTTTAAGGTCAAAGAAGCTGAAGTCTTGCCAGTGTGACTCAGTCTCCTTCTGCTGCCTGCAGATCAAGATGTAGAACTCTCAGCTGCTTCTCCAGCACCATGTCCGCCTGTGTGCTGCCACGCTTCTCCCCATGACGATAATGGACTAAATCTCCGAACTGTAAGCCATCCCCCAATTAAATGTGTTCCTTTGTAAGACAACCGTGGACATTGGTGTCTCTTCACAGTAATAGAAACCCTAAGACCTTCCAAGCCCATTATGGGATAACAGGATATATGTACTTGACATAAAAACATACAATCAAGGCATTCTCCATACTGAATTAGAAGTTTATTGGGCTCCTAATTCCCATGTCTGAAACATGAACATGGACTTACATGCATTGTCTCATGTTGTAGATCTCACATGCATGTCGTCTTCAGTCAGCTGGGCCTCTGCTCTATCATCAGTAATGTATAGTTAGCTCAATGTGAGTGAATGACAAATACAGGATGATGCGTAAGCCGTAGCAATAAATCCTTCCCAGTATCATTTACTTTTCCCCAAAACACCATATTACAACTCTCTCTTGTAAAAAATAAAGTTCAGAACAAGGCATTTAATTGACCTCACTGAGAAAAATAAAGGTAATTCTATCATTTCAGAATTCAGCAATGAATGTCCAACTATGGCTAAAAGGTACACCCTGAGAATTAAATGATTTATTTGAACAAACCCATTAAGGTTTATAAAGCTATGTTAACCTAATGTCAGGAAGGGACACGAGATATCGGTGCCAATGCTCCTGCTCATTTTGTGGTCGAGTTCTCCAGGGATGCGGTATTGTAAACATCCTCATTGTCTTCAATGCTAGAAGCATCCGTGGAGTCAGGCTCGCTGACCACGATGCCAATGGAAGACAGACTGGTAATGAAGGCATGTACTTGCTGTGCATAAACATCCCTAATGTTAAAGTAAGGTAGCTCATGGCACTTCTCCGGTGGGTCCTCACTGCCCTGGTCCACATCCATGTCCTTCTGCTTCTGGTAGTACTTGGAAAACTTGTTGAAGATGATGGTGATTGGAAGGGCCACCACCAAGATGCCGCAGATAATACATGTGCTTGCAATGATCTTCCCGGCTAAGGTGACTGGATGGGTGTCTCCATAGCCCACAGTGGTCATGCTGATAGTGGCCCACCACCAGCAGATAGGGATACTGGTGAGACTGGATGCAAGTTCATCTTTCTCCACAGAGTAGATAAGCACGGAGAAGATGGAAATGCCCACCGAGAGGAAGAGAAGCAGTAACCCCACTTCATGGTAACTGTGCCTCAGTGTGGCCCCCAGAGACCGAAGCCCTACAGAGTGCCGGGCTAGCTTCAGAATTCGGAAAATCCTCATGAGCCGAAGGATCTGGACCACCTTGCCCATATTCTCAATGTCCTCACTCTCCTCTTCCTTGGTGTCCACAGCCAAAGTGGCATAGAAGGGAATGATGGAGACAAAGTCGATGATGTTCAGAGGGTTTTTCCAGAACTTCTTTTGAGAAGGGGCAGCAACCAGCCGGATGGCCAGCTCGCCAGTGAACCACGCGATGCATGCGATCTCCACGCCTTCCAGCACAGGGTCATCCACTTCTCCATCCTCATTCTGGAATTCTGACATGCTGTGCACACACATGGCCACGATGGAGGCCAGCACCACGCTCAAGGAGGAGATAGCGATGAGCTTGGCCGACAGGCAATAAGCTGGGTTTTCCATCCGAATCCAGATTTTCTTCCGGAGCTGACCAAACCTCAGCTCGTCAAACTTCTCCAGCTCTTTCTCAAACAGGGAGGATTCTTCGAAGGAGGAGTCCGTGCTCACATCATTGCTTTTCTGGTCCCAGTCCTTCTCGTGGCTCTCCTCCTTGCGCTCCTGGTATCGGCTGCTGCAGCAGGAGTCGATGAAGAGCTCGTTGATACCCCAGTACTCGATCTCCTGGCAGAAGGAGAACACGCACAGTTCCTCCATGACGTGCAGCTTCCCCGTGTAGTAAAAGTTCAAGACGTATCTGAACAGGGAGGGGTTCCGATCGAAATAGTACTCTTTATCTGCCACGCTGTAGTCATCACACAGCTCCAGGATGGCTTCTTCAGAGTGGCAGGTCAGCAGCTTCCCCAGTCTTGTGTGAGGGAAGCGTAGGAGTGTGCTCTGGTCCACAGACTGCTTAAAGCCCCCCACGTTCAAGTTGACAAGTTCCTCATCTTGTCCAGGGCGATGGAAAAACTCACCAAACACCATGATGGACAGAGAAGGCAGAGTGCTGGCCGGGAAGGGAGATGCCCAAGATCACATTGCACCTGGAAGGAGCACAAGACAATATTAGCCTGTGCCCAGCCCTGCCTCGTCAGGACTGATTTCCAATCTGCCCTTTCCAGAATGATGGGCTGCACTGAAGGCAAAACAGGAAATGCATTTGCAAAAAGAAAAGCCACATTTGGAGGGGGTCCAAAAACTTGAACTTAAAAATCCAGTTTTACAAAAGAAAACCTACAATATCATTTAATGACCTAATTCCCATTTCTCTATTAAGTACTTACATTTCATCTTCAGCACCCCCTCCCACAGAGAGAGAGAGAGGGAGAAAGAGAGAGAGAGAGAGAGAGAGAGAGAGAGAGAGAGAGAGAGAGAGAGAGAGAGAGAGGAGAGAGAGAGAGAGACTAAGAAGCAATGCAATTCTGATTACTTACTTACACAATATAAACACGTCTACAGTCTCAACCATGAGGCTCAACAAGTCAGCTGCTGTAGGGCTTGTAGCCTACATCTGTCCATCCCAAACTCATCCACCCAGAGAAAAAGTGCTCTCCTCTTCTCCACATTTCATCCGTGGGAGACAGAGATGAGCTCTTACAGTGACTGTGGGTTTCACTTTATGTTCCAGCAATGCGCTCTTTTAGGAGAGCCCATTATTTATGTTTGGACACTGACACTCAGGAGGATATAATTATCTCCCCGTAATTAAGCACCATATATCTTACAGATATCATTACACTTCCCAGGATGGGGTTTCAGGACTATCCACATGGAAAGAAACTGGCTGGGGAAGACCTTTTCAAGTTAAACATGCTCTGTTTCCTGGCATGAACAGTCTCTTCTCACAGTCTCTTACACACTGACAGCAGCATCATCGAGAATTCCACGCCATCCAGGGTCCACACTGGTTGGGCTCAAAGTTCTAATTCTAACCAGGGTATATCAGATCCATTCCTCAGAGAGAAAATACGGAGGGCTGGGGATGTAAACACCTGTTTCTAATTATATGAATATGTACATGTGCTACACGTGGACAGGAGCCCTTGGAGGCCAGAAGAAGGCATGGATGCCCTGGAGCTGGGACATCAGGCAGTTTGAGCCACCACAGGTGAGCGCTGTGAACCCAGGTCCTCAACAAGAGCAGCACAGCTGACTAAACAGAATGGGAAAGGGAGCTCTCAGCAGAGGTGCCAGAGGTGGGCAGCAGGAAGACTGTGAATAGACCAGTACACCATTCTGAAGAAACTGGATTTTATTCTGTAGACAAGACTATAATCAACTGAGCTCCCATTTCAACACCACACTGTCATCTACAAAGTTCCTACTCCAGACCCATGTAACTGAGTTTCAAGGGAAAAAGAGAACCTGCCTCAGTGTTGGTACTAGACCCATGCATAGCTGCCGTGAGCTACAAGCAGTCAGCAGACTGCAGGATGGACATGGCTTACAAGCAAAAGGGCCTTTCCAAGTGCATGTGTGACCATGACTTACGCCCACTCAGACTCTGTCTTCAGAGCTTCAGCTCACGACACTGTACAAAGCCCTTATCATGCTCTTGGATGCCTTGGCCGCCAGAACTGTAAGTAAAAACAGTTTTCTTTAAAACTTGAAACCCAAAACTAAAATATCAGTTCCACTGAGGGAAAATTGGAAGACCTCTCAAGGGAAAGACAGCGAACGGGAGAAAGGGGTACACAGCACCAGGATGAGGCAGGGACTAGAAATGGATGTGTTGGGGGCACTTATAAAGAGGAATCGTCAAGTTCAGGAGTTTACAAAGCAAAACTGACGGGATGTGGCACTTGGTTCAAGAGAAGAGAGAAATACATAGACAGGGTAAAGGAGAAATACTCTCTAGTCTCCTGAATTTGTGAACAGTAACACCATGAAAGGATAAAAAGTCAGGAAGGAATTCCTCTTATGGCCAGCAAAAGCTACCAGCAAAAGATTCCTGGTCTGAAATAGAGACATATACCACAGGTCATGTCACACCCTTAAAACAGAGCCTCTGACATCCATTCCAGAACAAGGTCTACAATCACAAAAACTACTCAGTTTTTGCCTCCAGGACACCAATGCTTCATGAAGCCAAAGACCAGAGCATGGCTAATGTATCTTCAATAGATTTGCTGACCTCTTCCAAAAATTCAATTTGCCTCCCTCTGCTTTCTGTTTTTAATTAGGCATCTTCTTTGAAAGGCCTAAGTCAGAACTGTTGCCTTGATCCAAATATTTATGTAACATCATGTCTCTGATGGACAGCACAAGCTAATGGCACATAGAGTTGGAAAATGTTCATAGGAGCTAGTTTTTCTACAATGACACTAAGACTTTAATGGAAGCCAACTTCTGATGGATTGTTTTTCATCTTGGCTGTCCTGGAATCCCACAGTGGCATAATGTTTCATGACATCGCAGGCATATAAGGATCCCATAATAAGAGCCTGTAATCCACCTCCCCAGTCTCTCCCTGGTGACCTATCTAAAGAGCAAGACCACCCATGATGCCCATATTCCAACCGTGCCCCTCTGCTTTGTCCTCCCTGCATTTTCTTTCGTCTACACTGGGGAAGGAAAGGTCATCTGGAAGTCCATCCATGTGCTCCACGGAGTCTCATCATAAAAGCAACACATGTCATAAAACCAAAGATCACTTTAGGGGGCTTTCAAAAAAGAGAAGAGAACATTGCAGGATCAGATCCAACACTGCTGCTCCAAAGGCCAGTTCGGATGTACACAGTCAGGCCTGGATTCCTTGACTGCAGTCAGACCCCCAGCAGCCCACTTGGAGCAAGTAAGATGAAGTTTCTACCTTTACAAAACTTTCTACCTTTTTTCCAATTGCAGCATACTCTTATGTATTTTTTTCTCATTCCGGGAATTGACAGATATGGAAACAAAGAATCTGAGTCGAGGAACAGAGGCAGAGGCTTCAGCATTCCAGCTCACACACTCAAGATCACATGGCTGCTACTGTATATCATCACTTCCAAGGAGGCTGCATTTGGCTTAGCATTTATTAAAAATCCATTTGTTTGCTCCTTTCAGGAAAAATTTAGTGAGTCAAAGGTTACCTCTGTACTACGTGGTATAGCTCGGGTTTATATACACAGGCAGTCACACACACTTGGCTCTCCATGTCCATGAAGCTCCAAACAGGAGGATTCTATCAAATACAAATCAGTGGTGACAGTGTGATTTCATCCATGGGACCCACATGATAGAGAGAATCCACTCCCACAGAGTTGTCTTCTGACCTCCATCCACAAATGATGGTATGTTTGTTTCTACACACACTAAACAAGTAAGCCTTTTTTTAATTCAGAAAAAAAATGCATGTATTGCAATGATGCACACAATGCAAGATTATTTAACTTTAAAATCAATATAAATTATTTAAATACAAAAATCAATTCAAATATATCGACTTGAACACATTTCCATTTTCTTTTATATTGGCACAGTAAAATGCCAAGAAATATGTTTAATCGTGTAGGATTTGTATTTTAAACCCCATCAGTAACATCTATTTTCTTAACCAGGACAATGTCCTCAAGATTTCAAGACTAAGGAGGCAGTTCAACAGGTAAAGCACCTGCCTCAACTGCATGAGTACTCAAGTTCAGCTCCCAGGACCCATGCAAAAGCCAGGTGAGCACAGCAACCTATCTGTAACACCCAACTGCATGGGAAGCAGACATAGAGGCTTCCCCAGGGCAAGCTGGCTAGCCACACTGTGTGAAACAGTGACCTCAGGGTTCAGCATGAGATCCTAACTCAATATATAAAGGTGAAACTCCATAGAGGAAGACACTTCGCTCCAAGCACACACAAGTGCACATCACCTACATACATGTACCACACATATGAATATACATGCATAAGCATCTACACCCACATATAAATATATGCAAAAGAAGAAAGGAATGCAGAAAGGAAAGGAGGAAGGAGGGAGGGAGGGGGGAAGAAGGAAGGAAGGGAGGGGAAGGAAGGGGAGGAGAGAGAGGAAGGAAGGGGAGATGAGAGGAGAGAGGGAGGGAGGGATCAGATGGCATTTTGGTTTCGTTTTTGAGACAAGGTCTCCCTATGTAGTCTTCACTGGCCTGAACTCACTGTGTAGACCAAGTGGGCCTTGAACTCATAGAGATCCATCTTCCTCTGCCTCCTGAGTACTAAGATTAAAGGCCTTTCCCAGAAAGTAAATTTTATCATTTAACAGTAATACTATCTTATAATTAGGAAAGTTTGAATTTTGATATATAATTGGAAAAATAAGCATAGACCCAGAAAATAAAAAAATGTGTGTACTGAATATGTAAGCAGTTTTCTGTTGTCGTTGTTTTCTGAATGACAGGGCATAACAACTATTGACACAGAACTTGCAGTATATGAAATGCCACCCATTACCTAAAAACTATTCTAAGCACGCAGAAGAGCATGCATGGGCTCTACGCAAATACTACACCATTGTTGAGCACCTGAGGATTTGGGTATCTATAGGGATCTAGAAACCAAAGGGTGTCTGTCATTATACAGCATGTAGATATATAGTGAATCATACATACATCCACTAAATACAAATATGGACCAACTAATTTATGAACCATAAATATGTAACTTTTTCTGATTCAAAAATTTTGGTTATGTGAAAGTAATTTTCACAGCAACATAAAAATGAGTTACAGAAAAGACTCACATATATCACACAGAAGAGATTTAGTGCGCTTAATATATGAAGAGGGTTTATTTTTAAGAAGAAAATGAACTATGACAATGTGGGAAATGGACAAGAGATGGGAACAGACAGTTCATAGAAGAAAACCACAAATGGTACCAAAGTCAGGAAAAAAATGTTCAACCTTCCTCAGGAGTGCATGTGAAAACCACATTGACACATTACTTCTAATGCACCAAATTGGAGCAACATCAGAATGTCTACATGTAGTGCTGGCTAGTCTGTGGTGAAGCAGGCCTCTTCACTTTGTGCTGGGAATGTAAAATGAAGGGGAGCCCCTGGGGAGGAGAACTTGGCAATGTTTGATGGACTGGCATAGGCTTTTACCCTCTGACCTAGTATTTTCTCTTCTAGAACTCTTCCCAAAGTTAGATAAGCAAAGCACAGTGTGTAAGTGGAAACAGTCCAAATGTCCATCAGAGGAGGAATGACTGAAAATAAATATAAATTATGGTCTACTTCTAGATGCCACACACATGCATGGATGCACGCATGTGCAACGTGCACACATCACATCATATACAATGATACACACACACACATACACACAGCATATCACACACATGTATGTAATTAGATATACACACACACAATGTCAGAAAGGGAACTCAGGAACTATGTTAATGTTTACCTAATTATGAGGCAAATTAGATTAAAATGAAACAGATATTTCTTTAAAAATTTAGCATTACTGTATATCAAGTTGGTAACTTAGCCTCACACGGATGAACTACTTCAATGAACTGACTAAGCATCCAACTGGTATGGAGACTAGCACAAAAATAAATAACAATATTAAAACATTTTAGCAATCACGGTTATGTACTTATTCTTTTTAAAAATATTTATTATTATTTTATGTATACAGGTGTTTGCTTGCATATGTGTCTACATACCAAGTGCACGCCCTGCACTGTGAGAAACCAGAAGGTTCTTGGAACTGGAGTTTTGTGGGTGTTAGGAATTGAACACAGGTCCTCTGGAAGAATAGCCAGTGCTCTCAACCACATAACTATCTCTCCAGCCCTGCATACTTATGTTTAAACATTTACATACACGTAGGATGAAGCACAGGAAGTGTTACGTTAATGTCCTTAAGCACTCCAAGATGTTAGGTACAAAATAAAAATAAACATGAATGTAAGAATCAAAGAAATTAAATAAAAGCTCTCTGATCCTGAATTTGACAGCATAAACACACAATTTATTTTTGCACATGGAGAGTCATATGCCCTAGCTCTGTCTGCCAAACAAAACAATACAATGAACAAACAAACAACAAAAACAAAACGAATAAAAGAGACTGAAACAGATGACTACGTGGATGCTACATGGCCAGCGGCTCATGTCTCTCCCTAAAAGTGAGGTATTTATTCTCACCTCTCTAGGAGTGCTAACAGCTGAGAATTCTCAGCTAAGTCAGTCACCACTAGGGAATCACCCTCAGCCAAAAGAGAGATGCTTCCCAAGATCAGAAACATAGCCAATGGCTTGTCTATAAGAGGCTTGTCATAACCCAACTTCTTATTATATAAAGGTGGTCCACCTAGCTCCGGAGCTCTGCGACAGCCAAGTGAGGTCTATGCTTAAATCCCATCCAAGTTCAACGCCTCCATTTACTGAAGCCTCCTTTCCTCACTTCTGCACGGGTGCTGATCCCAAGGACACCTATACATATCTGCCTCTGTATATTTTAGAGAGCCAATCTAGAAACACTAGGAAGTATCCTAATTCAGTGAGAATGAAACAAGTAAATACAATTTCTCCCATAAAACAGTAAGGGTCTCTTGGCTGGACAGTCAATTTCCAATCTGGGAACAGAAATACACAAGAGGAGCCTGGAATTTCCTTCTATACCAGAACACAAGGGAGGTTGTCAAAGATAAGGCAGAGTCAGAACGATTCAAAGAAAACTAAGGAGACTTCCACCTGCTGAAGAGAAGAAGCACGTGTCTCATGGGGGAAAAGCAAAAATCTGCAACAGATCCTAACATATCAAATATGATGAAAGTCTTAAGTTCATAGCAACAATTTCCCTGCCGGTCCATGTGTACATGTTCTGTGTGTACACAGCTGCATGTGTGCCCAAGAGTATGAAAGCCAGATGACCTTACTGTCACTGCTAAACACCACCCACCTTGTCTTTTGAGACAAGCTCTGTCACTTGTGCCTAGAACTTCCAGACTCAGCAAGGCTGGCTGGCCAGAGCCCCAAGGATCTGTCTCTTTACATGCCCAACACTGAGATTACAAACACACACCACCAAGTCTGACCTTTTAAAACAGGTTCTAGGGATTGAACTTGGCTCCTACTACTTGTATAGCATGCCCTCTATTGATAATCTCCTCAGCCCCCACAAAAATAATTTTTAAAAAGGAACGCAGTGCTTGACTTGTCTCTTTTGGAGACTGCCCAAGTACCAACTCATTATTCTATGAAAGTAAAGAGAAAAATCTAGCACTTTATCCTACTTTCCTGTGTGAATTATACTTTAGGAAAATAATACAAGAGTTAATGAGGAAAATCTTTCTTTATAAAAGTATCCCAATAATTTGAAAACACAGCAGTGGAAATAATCAAATGGCATAATAGAAAGTAATTATTTACACTTAAAAACAAGTTGAGATTTTAAAAGTTGAAAATAACTGAAAAGGAGTTGTTGTGACTATACTGAATGTCACAAAAAATAAAATTTGAGATAAAAATTATTACCAGAGTCAAAGAACATTTCTAGTAATAAAAATGTCAAACCATCAAAAGGAGGCAGAAGCACCATACACATATTAGCAATGGAGCCAAAAGAAATACATTATGTAGAAATAATGGCAGAACTAGAAGGAGAAATCACTGGCATTTCTATATCCCACCTTGGATAACATATGGAACAATCATAGAAATATCCACAGGGAAATAAAGAAGATTCAAACATCATGATAAACAAACAAGATCTGACAGAGACAGAGCACTCCAGCCAGCAAGAGCTCTCTCTCTGATGAATGCAGAAGAACACTCTCTAGTATAAACAAAAGCAGCTAAGTCATCGGAACAGCCTGGATAGATTCTAAAGGACCCTAGCCATCTCGAATCTGCTTTGACAAATTACTTGGAAGTAATCAACTTAAAGAGAGAACAGGTTTCCTGGCTCACCATTTCAAATATTTTAGTAGATTATCCTTTGGCCCTGGTGTCTTGGGCCTATGGAGAGATGGACAGACAGACAGAACAGCATTGCAGGATTACATGGGTCAACCTCAAGGCAACCAGGAAGCCAAACCAGTAAAAATGGGGGGGGGGGCAGTGTTAATATAATATAATTCATCGCCAATGAACTAACTTTCTGCTAACAACTACATCACCTCACAATAGCTCCACAACCAAGGATCCAGCCTCTATCTAACACATACACGGCCCTTTGGAGACATTCAAGATTCAAATTACAGGAAAAAAAGAGATTTAAGGCCGGGCGTTGGTGGCGTACGCCTTTAATCCCAGCACTCGGGAGGCAGAGGCAGGCGGATCTCTGTGAGTTCGAGGCCAGCCTGGTCTACAGAGCGAGTTCTAGGACAGCCTCCAAAACAATACAGAGAAACCCTGTCTCGAAAAAAAAAAACAAAAAAAACAAAAAAAAAGAGATTTAAATAGTAAAGTACACCAACTACAATGGAATAAAATTATACATCAATAACAAAAGAAAAGCTGGAATAATGTTTCAAAGTGGAAACTAAACAATACTCCTCAGGGGCCAAGAGTCAAAGGGAAAAAAATTTAATGCAATAAACAAAAACAAAATCTCAACAAACTTACAGAGTGCTATAAAACAGTGACTAGAAAAAATATAGACTTATATACCCATATTTAAAGAAATTAAGATCTGAAATTAAGAACTCTTGACCTTAAAACCATAGAAAATGAGGAAAGCTAAGGCCAAATTTAGCTCAATAAGAAAATGATAGTTACACTTGAAATGAATGAAACAGAAAATAAGAACAGTAATACAGAAAATTCAGAAGGCCAAAAACTAGGCATTTAAAAAAATCAATAAAACTGATCCATCTCTAGACACATTAACCATGAAAGAATGTAAGAAAACACCAATTAGCAAAATCAGCAGTGGAAGAGGGTATGTCAATACTGGCCTCACAGAAGTGGGAAGAACTGTAAGAACATTCTGTGAACAAATTTATAGCTGCACATTAGATAACCTATAACCTAGATAAAGTAGGTAAATTGCTGGAAATATATAACTTACAGAAAATAACTCAAGATGAGAAGTAAAATCTTAATGAGCTTGCAGGATACTTAATTTGCATCCTAAAAACTCTGTGCATAGAAAAGCCCCACTGTTGAGTTCCATCACTTCTTAGCATGGATCCTTGAACAAACGTTTCCAAGACCACAAAGAAGAAGGTGCCCTCCCCAACTATATAAAGCCAGTATTCCCTTCATGCCAAGACAATAAACAGGCATAAGAAGGAAACTCAAGACCATTGTCCCTGTGGATACAGATGCAAGCATAATCAACAAATCAGTAGCAAACCAGGTCCGTTAATAAATCCTAGTTAGGGTTTCTGTTGCTGTGATGAAACTCCATGACCAAAAGCAACTTTGCAGAGGGAAGGGTTAATTTCACTCACAGGTCTTATAACAGTTCATGTCAAAAGTCCTATGAGGGCAGGAACCTGGAGGCAGGAGCTGAAGCAAAGGCCATGGAGGGGCGCTGCTTACTGGCTTGCTCCTCGTGGCTTGCTCAGCCTGCTTTCTTATAGAACCCAGGAAAACCAGCCCAGGATAGCACCCCCAACACAATGGTCTGGGCCCTCCCATGTCAATCATTAATGCCCTACAGGCTTTTGGACAGCCCGGTATTTATGGAGGCATTTTTTCAACTGGGAGTCTTTCTGATGATTCTAGCTTATGTCAAGTTAGTATAAAATTAGTGAGCACAACATATAAAAAGAATTCTATACTTTGACTATTCAGACTTACCTCAAGAATGCAAAGCTGGTTTATACATGTAAATCCGCCAGGACATTTTAACATACTGCCATGTATATAGTCCATTGTCCATAGAAATGTCATACTACATTTCATCATCATATATGAAATATCCCAACAAATAAGCACATATAATATACAGGAAATGCATTGGTGGTCACTTAGAGCTGGAAAAAGGGAAGAGAACTGGGATTGCTAACGGGTATAGATTTCTTTTAGGAGTGATAAAAATATTCTGGAATAAGACAGCCATACAACCTTACGAATATAGTAAAAACAGAATTATACATTTTTAAAGAGTAAATTTTGTAGCATATGAAACATATCTCAGTAAAACTATTTTTAATAAGTTTCACTTAGTGAATGAAGAATTGTTAGCACTAAAATCTTACTGGTTGGTAGCTTATAATGAAAAACCCGAACAAAATTTTAAATGTAGTAAGGAATTCTGTTGGTCCAGTAATCTTATCTTCATCCTTACACCCAAAGGTAAATATGGTTACTATCACTCACCAAGGAAGCCTCTCTTTACAGCAACTGGAGACCATTATAGAAAACCACTATCTATTTTATAGATACAATTAAAAAATCCACATCATGGGAAACACAGTCCTAATACATCACACTCCTGTGTCTATAGCTGGGGTAACATTGTGGAAGATGGAGTGAAAAGATTGTAAGAGACAGAATAGCAGGAGGGCAGCTGTGGACAGCTGTGGAACAGTCTCTCCTGGAAATGGCTGCATAAACAGGAGTGGAACAATGGCAGTATCAATAGACATGCTAACATGGACAGGGGGAATTGTACAGAATCCTTTCCCTAGACAAAGAACTACAGGCAAGTAATGACTTCTGGGAAGAGGAGAATTAGCCTCTACCAGGGATGAACTCCACAATGTGAAGTTCAGTCTTGAAACTATATACACACCAACAATAAAACCAGACTTACGGACTTAGCAGGATAGGTAGGTAGGTAGGTAGGTAGGTAGGTAGGTAGGTAGGTTGGTAGATAGATATTTGTGCTTATACGTGTGTGTGTGTGTGTGTGTGTGTAATAATAATCAAGGAAAAAGAGACTATCAACTTGAGGGTGGAAGGGAGACCATGGGAGGGTAGTTAGGAGGGGTGAGAAGGAGGAAAGGGAGGGGCAACATCATGTAATTTTATTTCTATTTAAATATTTTTAAAGAGCTGGACCATGGTTGTCAATGACTGCCAGATAACAAATCAATGAGAAATTTCCTAACATGGATCAGAGTCACATCATCTGTCCCTTTGGCGATGACCAATGTAACAAAAGAAACACAAAGCAAAACATCTCCTGATGGATGTCTATAAACAATTCCACAGACCTAAATTTGATTGAGCCTGGTCTAGATCTAACTCCTAACTAAAAAAAAAAAAGAAGAGATTTCAGAAGAACATGTTCAATGATATCAAAAAGGATGCTAGTAGTAAAACTAAGAGTATAAGAACCCACACAGAAAAAATGACATTGATCATTAAGAGAAACAGAAAACTGAATCAGTCTATAGATGCTGTATGGATCTTGTTTCTAACAAATCAAATGTATATATGCATATTGTTTCATTATAGATGTATTTGCATATGCATTATATCTGCATTGTACACATATATAAATATCAAATAAAAATTAGATGTGTGATACCATAAAAGACTGTTAATTTTTGAGTGTTCTAGTGGTATTTCAGGTTAAAATATTGGTATTAATTTCTAAAATGGATAGGAAAGACAATAATATTATGCTCTTACCCACCACCAAAAACCAAAACTCCATAATGGAATCAGAACTAGAAAAGAATTAGCTTAAAATACTCTTCCATTAACTTGTACCCATTACCTGTAGTCAGTCTTTATCCCCTAATAGTTAGCCTTTCTTATTCTCTTTTCTTCATGGTATCTCGTACCCACTTGTACACTTGTTCATTATTGCCTCGATTCTGCATATGAGAATCACTGCTCCACCTGAGTCATATTGCATGGAGGGACGCTCATACAGCTGTCTGTAACAGCAGAGTTCTGACACTCAGGGAAAAGAGTTATGGAGAATTTGAATGTACTGGGTCAAGCTCACAGTTCTCTCCTCCTGGACTCTCTTGCTCTGTTCAACATCAACAACCCTTTGTGTCCTCTCTATAGCAGCACTTGTCACACATTAGTGTCACACCTTCTACACTTGATCCTTCTTACTCTGCACAAACCCTGAATGTCTAGACAGTCTGTAGCACTCATCTGTCCTCTTGAGGGTAGAAAGGAGACCATGAGAGTCTCTTTTGTTAATGACCTGTCCTTGTCTGGTAAATGACATTCATCTTTGTTTGGAAGAATTAACAAAAGCTATTGCTGTTCTCCGAAAAAGCGATAGCAAAAAGATCTAGATCAGGCATGGCAAAATGCATCGGCTCCAATGGCCAAAAGGTGAAGTCAAGCTAACAAAGGGACAGTTGGGGCACTGTAATACATTCCCCAAGGTGAAACACAGAGACTCCCCACAGCATCTCAGTACTTAGGGGGATTCAAGGACAGACTTATCAGTGCTCATGAAGAAACAAAATCCTGATTTGTATGTAGGACATCGGAGCTGACCTACTAGGCTTTAGACATTATATGACTCCAAAGAAATGTGCTTCTGGGCACACTGTGACCTGAGCCAGTCTCCTGACAATTCCACTTCTGTGACTTCCATGGAAAGGCAGACATAAAAGGATACTCACTGCAAGAGCAGTAGTGATCTTTCCTCAAGTCTGAACCACAAATGTTGAAAAACGAAAAGAGAGTACGGGGAAGGAATATGTATAACACGCTAACTTGCTTTTTTTTCTGATTGAAGACACTAAGGCAGGGCCTCATACAGGCCAGTCTGACTTCTTACTCATTGAACACATGAGTGTTCAGGGATAACTGAACTGCTCATCTTCTTGACTCTGCTCTCAAGCGCTGGGAGCACAGGTGTGTGCCACCATGTTTGCGTTTTACGTTGTGCTGGGGATCAAGCCCATGGCTTTATGCATGATAAGCAAGCACCTTGGGCTATCTCCAGAACTTTCTAAATCTGGCTGTAGTATGATCGCAAGTTGATCTAACCTTTCCAGACCCCTGCTGGTTTCAACTGCCCATCAAATTTTACAATGAGAAGAACTTCCCCGGATCTGTGGATTTCCTCTTTATTGCTATACTATAAAAATACTTTCCTCTTCCTCATTGACAGCAACGGTTGTCAGAGAAACTAATACAGAAAGACAATTCTTACCCTCTTGGTGGTGATGTCGCACACTCTGCCCTCATCCTGTACAGTGGAACGTTCATTGTCATCCAAGAAGCTTCTCCCTTCTTCCCTTACTGGAGTACGGAGTGCGCACAGGCATTTAGCGGCTCGAAGAAGAGATGAGTGTGATCCTCTGGTTGCACAAGCCAAATCAGATGCTGTAAAGTCAAGAGCACCTGCAGAGGAAAGTACCACACAAGCTGTCACTCAAAGCTGAAAACAAAACCAACACGTTCCATCGCCAACTCCATGCTCCGGGCATGTTTCACTGATTAGACACAAACCTTCAAGCCCCATGGGACTTTCATGGCAGAAGTGGTCTTTGCCCAAGATGGAACCATTGCTCCACCTGAACTCACAGATAGAATTAGGGACTCCTAGAACTTGACTACAGTGGAACATCTGGAGCATCACATCTGTCACGGGCCATGAAACATCCAAGATAAACTGGGCACTGGAGTTAGGGCGTCACTTGCTTCCCATATAGCTGCTTATAAGAGTTATTCCCTTAGCCAATCCATTAAGAGTGTGCTTGCAAACTTCTAAATGAATATACTTTAATCCATTTCAGAGGCAAATTTATAGGGGTTACTGATCTAATAGAATTAACCCCACTACTACAATTTGAAATTAATAGATTTCAAGGGCTGGACAAATTCAATTCCTCTTATTTGTACATTGCTGTATGTCACAGAGATGGTTTCAGGTCCTAACACAGAATCCTCCATAAACATGAGTGTGTTCCTGCGTGGACTGGGGGGGGGGGGTTAAGTTTATGTCAAAACAAACAAAAAGATAACCCTGAGAGAGAGAGAGAGAGAGAGAGAGAGAGAGAGAGAGAGAGAGAGAGAGAGAGAGAGAGAGAACAAAAATTTTTTTTAAATCCCAGCCGGGCGTCGGTGGCACACACCTTTAATCCCAGCACTCGGGAGGCAGAGGCAGGCGGATCTCTGTGAGTTCGAGGCCAGCCTGGTCTACAAAGTGAGTTCCAGGACAGCCTCCACAGCTACAGAGAAACCCTGTCTCGAAAAACAAAAACAAAAAAAAATCCCCACCCAAGTAAGTCTTGCCTCATGTTGACATATTCCCTTAGGTCTATGCTGGCATCCAAGCATCTAACCCTTGATTTCTTTTTCCATGTTTTCCAATCAACTCCCTATCCAAAAGGGGGTGGGTAGTCACGGAGAAGCTATTGATGTTGAGCAGAAGACAGGCAAGAAGGGCCTGTGGCTACATCGGTCATTAAATAAACACTCAGTGTGGTTGAAGACCTTCTAAAGCCCTGGGGTCTCTGATGGCACACAGCAGCTACTCTAACACCCCAATATCCCACAGTTCCTAAACCAAGTAAACATTCCTGGGGGCTATGCAGACACAGTCAGGGAGGAACACAGCTTACAAGTTGGCCCCAGCAGGGACAGAGCACATCCTGACCTGCCACAGGGGTGAATTTCCACTTCTAGCCAATGGTCATGAGAATGATCCAGAAGGGAAATATGTCTCCATGCAAGCAGAACTTCTCAGGTGGAACTCTTGCTAGGAAAGCACAGAAATCTCTTCGTAAGGATGAAGAGCAGGATTTCAGAAGTTAAAGGGAAAGGCAGAAATGCTACAGTGCCCAATCTTTCCTCTCAGATACCTTTCAAACTGCAACATCCTTTAAGAGAAAGTAAAGTTAACTTGGAGATAATTAACCCCAAACAACTTTCATATCACTATACTCATTGCTGAAGGAAAAAATAGAGTACTTGAGCTCTTGGCTAGAAATCCATTGCTTTGGCTCAGCACATAACGGTCAGGGCTGAGGCAGGGACACACGGTGAAGGTTAGCCAAGTGTATGCTCTAAACAGAAGGGAAGCCATCAGTCAGTATATCATGAATAAATGACATCCAAACAGTCACTTCCTCCTGGCCTCCTAAACTCAGAATTCATGTGTCCTACTAGATTTTCTACCACCTAAATCACTGTCAAATGATGGGAACTAGGGAGATGGCTGAGTTGGTAAAGCCGCTTTCATCAAAGACATGAGGACGTGAGTTTGATTCCCAGACACCATGTAAAAATGCAGGAAGTGGTGTCCCACCTTTGTAAGCCCCGCAGGCCAAGATGGGAAGATCCCTGGGACCAATGGCCAGCCAGGCTAGCCTAATGACATGTTCTCAGCCAATAAGAGACTTTGCCTCGAAGAAAGTGAACTGCATTTCTCTGGATGATACCCAAAGTGGTCTTCTGGCCTCCATCATGTGTGAGTGCAAGCACACGTGTGCAAATGCACACACACGCACACACACCCTTTGATTTCCAAAACAAGTATGACACCAGTCAGTAGTATTTATGATTTCATAGCAATCCATACCACTCTAAGATCATTTGTGTTCTAAATGAACCCAACAAAAACTGATAGCTAACATTTTCTGAGTCCCCCACACCATTCTAGGTACATTTGTATGACTTTTACAAACATCTCCTCAACCTTCAACCACAGCATATGCCAAGTATTATTCTCAATTTAGAGGTGGGACATCCATACCCAAAGATGTTATCTGCACACAGTACGACTCCCAAGAAGTTGTAGGACCAATGTTTATCTCTCTTACTTCAAAAATCAAAGTTCCTCCAGTTATCATCAGAGAAGGTTGTGGAATCGTTGAGGGAAGTGGGACAAAGCATCAGACTTAGGGGAAAGGAAGTGTGGACACCCAAAGTGTTTCCCCCATTCTGTCTCACAACCCTGCCACCTGATGTTTGCTTCTCTATGTGCCTACCAAGGTTGTCAGTGTTGATCTGTTCAAACAAAGGGATCATCAGTGGTTTAGCACTGAACAGCTTTCTGACCTTGTGATTCATCCCAATCCTGGCAAAAATCCATCATGCTCCCCCAAGGCGTGATTCTCTCTGCAGAATTCCTCTTTTCACAACAACTGAATTATCTTTGCCATTTCCTCCAGCCTGGCTATATTTCCTGGTGAGTTCACTACAGCATTCAAAAGCCATACACAATGACAACCTCCATTATTGAGGGGGAAAGGCGAAGAGTAAGTAACACAGCAGATGCTTCCATCATCCAGACACCTGACATTCAATCTTGGAACCGAGGCCAGGGGAAAGAAAATGGATTGCAAACAGTACACAGAAATGGCTACGGCTTCCCTGGTCCTAACCGTAGATATGGGATCGCCTCTAAAACTGCAAAATTGAGCTGGTAAATGAAAGCAGACACTCCTTATGGCATTGCAGTACTGGCCTGTGTCCTCTGTAGGAACACACAAGTCTATATGTTCCCATCACTGTCACACCACATTCTTGAGTATCATCTAGATTAAGAAAGCCACCAGCTGGGTACAGTGTCCCACTAGCAATCTTCATATTAATTATCCCTGTCATACAATGATGCTTGACACATTTTGTTCAAACCAATTCCCCTCTTTCAAGCCAACAAAATTAAAGAGTAAATTAGAGAAAAAAATCAATATAGATAACAAAAGACAGCTGGTCAGAGGCAGAGGAGGATACTGGGAGGGACAAAATGACTGCCAAGACCTATCCTAGCACAGGATATACAGATAAAATCCTCTTATCCTGGGCAGTCAGCCCATTCTGCTCCAACATCTCCAGGCCAGTTCAAGAGTCAAAGGTCAAACCCTCAGAGGTTCTTTATTCTTAAATACTCCCAAAAATCTCCCTTGCATTGACTCCAGGCTCCAAGAGACACTTCCTGGTGAATAGAGATCCGGGCACCTTGCCAATGGGTAACACATGAGCTACGCAGCCAATACAATCTCTACCCTTGTGGTTTATAAATGCATAGAACTCAGTAAAGTGGAAAGAGGCTTATTTACACTTTTCTGTGAGTTTTGAAGTAAGTCTGTGTCTCAGTTAGGGTTTCTGGTCCTGCAATGAAACACCATGGCCGAGAGCAATTTGGGGAGGAAAGGGTTTATCTGGCTTATATCATAATCTATCCCTGAAGGAAGTCAGGAGAGGAACTCAAACAGGGCAGGAGCTGATGCAGACGCCCTGGAGGGGTGTTGTGTACTGGCTTGCTCATTATGGCTTGCTCAGTCTGCTTTTTTATAGAACCCAGTACCACCTAGGGATAGAACCTAGGGATGACGCCACCCACAGTGGGCTGGGCCCTCCCACCTCAATCACCAATTAAGAAAATGCTGTATAGCTGGATTTTATTGAGGCATTGTCAATTTTCCTCCTTTCAGATGCCTCTAACTTATGTCAAGTTAACATTAAACTAGCCGGCAGAGTTTGATCAGTTTTTTGATACCAGAAAATGAGTTTCTGAAGTTACACAGCTGTCTTTGATCTGGGATGAAGACCCTGGGAAATGGTACCTACTCCTGGTCCAAACAACTTCCCTGGAGATATCTTGATCTTACAAACTTCCACAGTAGATGTCTCCACCTTGGAACTGCTGCTACCACAGGACAGGGTGACTGTTTCTTATGAGAGTGCCCCAGATTGTAGGATGTTTAGCAATATGGATAGACCCTACCTACTATATACCAAGGTTATGATACCAAGGTTATGATACCAAGGTTATGATAATCAGAAATCTCTCCAGAGCTGGCAAAAAAAGCACCTAAAGGCACTTGTCATCAAGGTCAATGACCTGAGTTCAATTCCTGAGAACCATATAAGAAGGAGGGAACCAGTTCCCACAAGTTGTCTTCTGACCATGGCAAGTACACCATGACATATGCATTTGTACATGTACACGTGTACACACATAAATAAATAAATAAATAAATAAATAAATAAATAAATAAATCCCAATAAGACATTCTTTTAAAGGTCTCGAGGCCCTGTCAAGTGCTCTGCTTAGGAAGCAAACTTATCTCCACTTGAGACCAAAACTCTATAAATGAAGTAAAGTTCAGACCCCTGTTTGTGACTCGGCATGCAGTGACACTTCCCAGAGGACAGGACCCAGGGACTATCCTCCAATACTTATTCCTTTAAAAGCAGTTATTTCATGCCACAATGTCAGTCAACAAAAATAGGGGCTGGGAAGATGGCTTGGTAGGTAAAGTACCTGCCACATAAGCTTGAGGTGTCAAGTCCGGATCCCAAACATACACAGAAAAGCTAGTCATGAATGGCATATACCTAGAATCCCAGCCATGGGGAGGCAGAGACACGCAGATTCCTGAAGGTCATAG